AATAGGATGCAACAAATCATCAAAAAGATCATACACTATGACCAAATAAGCAGAGATGCAGAGATCGTTCCATATATGCTAATCAATAAATGTAATACACCACATGAACAGAAGCAAGAACAAAAAACACATAATCACCTCAATAATCACCAAAGAAGCATTTGACAAAATCTATCATTCATTCATGATAAAAATACTGAAGAAATAGATATACAAAGTCTTTCTCATAATCTGATAAAAATCCATCTATGACAAACCAGCAACCAACATCATAATGGAGAGGAACTAAAAGCTTCCCATCTAAAATCAGGAACAAGTTGAAGGTGCCCACACTCACCATTCCTGTTCAATATAGTTCTCAAAACACTAGCCACAGTAATGAAGCGAGAGAAGGAACTAAAGTGATACGGATAGGAAAGGAAGAAGTTCCATTGTCATTATCTGCTGATGATATGATTCTCTATTACACAGAAGACCCCTAAAAGTCCAACAGGGTCAGGTCTTGGTTTATCTTCATCTCTATGGCCTGTGTCATAGGCAAACAAGGTGCAGAGCCAACTTGGAGTTGGTATATGGTCACGTACTTGTATCAGGGGCTCTGCTTGTCTAGTGTAGGCCTGCCTAGTACCACGAGGGAGGGGCACCTCTTGCCTCAGGAGGTCTTTATATTAACTGATTGAACATTTGTTCATTATAGGTAGCATTAATAGCATTTTCAATTTATTCCCTGGTAATGGTTATTATTAACTTATTTTTTAACTCATTCCAAAACAAAATATTTAGGAGCCTGATGAAGCACATCCCAACAATTTGAAACAAGATAATTGCACAAATTGGTAAAAAGAACAAAGCATAATTGGAAAACAAGAGACCAAAGTATTAAAATATGCTTATTTTTAAGTATGTACTTCAAAGTTACAAAAGCTATTGTTAGAAATTTTATCTGAGCTTCCTAGAGACTAGGCCAGTTTGAAATACTCTTGTTCCCCCAATCTCTTGTTATGTGCTTTTCACACAGCAGATCTTCATTGTCTTCTCAGCCCCGCACTTATCTCATTCAAAACTGAGATTCACAGATGGGAGAAGCCATTGATTATTTTTATTGTGGCTTTTTTTTTCCTCAGAAACCTTCTCAGTTGCTGATCATTTAACCCTTTCAGGCTGGGAGAGAAAATAAACGCTGAATATTTCCCATTACCTCAGTTCATTGTGCTACTATGACAAAATGCTGGGGACTAGGTAATTTTTAAACAATCACAATGCATGTCTTACAGTTTTGGAGGCTGGAGAGTCCAAGATCAAGGCTCCAGTAGATCTGAGGTCAGGTGAAGGCTACTGTCTGTTTCCTCCTTATTGCTGGGTCCCCCTTAGCAGCAAGTGCTGTGTTCATATAGGGTAGAAGGGATGGAAGGAGCAAACCTGGCCCTTCATTCCATTTATAAAGCAGTAATCATTTCAGAAAGGTATAGTCTCTATAGTTTAATCACCATCCAAAGGCCTCAGATTTTAATAGCGTTGCATTGGAAATTAGATTTCAACACGAATTTTGGAGGGGGCATAAATATGTAAACCATCACAGGTGTTTATTGAACCAACGTAGTGAGCAATTCTAGACAAAAATTCCACTTTATTCTTAGTCTGATAAGTCCAGTTTTAAATGAATCGATTTCCTACTAGGAGCAATGCATGGATTTCAATGGGGAAATAAAGTGAGCAGCAAAGGGAAAGTCTGTATTTCCTGAGCGCTACAATCCCTACCATAGTAACTGGTTAGGCACAAGCTCTCGTACTGAAAGTTTGATAGAATTTTCCATCTGCGACTTTGCAGTCTACTTCGCTTGCTTTACCTTGGCTGTATTGCATTCAGCCTTAAAGTTTCAGAGAAATAGGGGCTAAAGAAGGACAAATATTCAGTGCATCAAAATAAGGCATTGGAGGGCCAGGGATTTAGCTCAGAAGTTTAGAGACCTGCCTTGCAAGTGCAAGGACCAGAGTTCAATCCCCGGTACCAAAAAAAAAAAAAAAAAAAGGCATTGGAGGACATTTCTAAATGTTCCATGTTACCTATTTATGTGTTTCTAGGCGGTCAGTAAATGTCTCCATTCTTGACAAGTGAATTTTGAAGGAAGTTAAAAGTGCCTGAGCTAAACCATCCCTGGTTTATCACGGCCAATGGTGTCATTCACACGTTGTGCAACACACAATTCTTGATTTAATTGTGCCAAAGTTTAGGTCATCTCAGAGGCCATATTAAAACTGAAAGCTCTTGATGGCAAGACTGGGATGAGAGTAAAGTAAAGGGAGGAGCTCTCTCCCTCTCCCTCTGAGAACGTAGGGATAAATACAATAGGGTAGGAAGGCAGATCCATTTTTAATGGATACTTCAGCATGTGTTGATTAGTTTACACAAAAATGATGTTAATTTAAAATGGGTTAAATGGTTGCTCTCCATGGTACCTGGGTATTGATGGTGCTGTCAAGTTAACCTAATTGTAATGGAGGTACCCTTGTTTCCTGTCCTCATAGGCAGAACACTGTGATTGCTTGATTTCGTTTTTCCCCCCAAATTTTTCCCATTTACCATATATGCAATGGTTAAAGACACTTAATTTATGACCGTTATTATTATCATTGATATTACGCATGAATGCGGTTTTGTTGAAAACATCTGCCCTGGCAGGGCTTGGAGGGAAGTCGGGCTTCTGTCCTCCAGGACCCAAGCTTTGGTATGGGAGGAGTGAGGTGCTGCCCTCATCCTACTCCCAGGCAGAAGGAAATATAGGAAAACGTGTTCAAATGAGAAGAGGAACACGGCAGTGGGGAGAGCGAGGGATGAAGGGAAAAAGAAAAAAGTGTGTGTGGGGGGGATGGAAAAGCACAGAAGTAACGCTTTTGTAAGTGGTAAAGGAAGAAGGATTGAAGGCAGGGAAGGGAATGAGAAAAAACAATTAAGGTGTATTATGTGTAGGTACATATTCCCTATCAGGAATAGGATTAATATGTATGACAAATAAAAAAAAATTAAGCACCGAGGTAGTAAGAGTGAAACTTCCTTTCCCTCCGCCGCCTGGACTTGGAATGCGTCCGCACAGTGACCTTCGCATCCCTAGAGTGGCACTTTGCGAACACACCCGCCACCCGCTTTGCGCGCTCCCACCAGATGGCTCGGCACACAGAGCACCCGTACCCAGGGCCACCGGCCTTCAGGAGAGCGGCAGGGGTCTCTTCAGGAGGAGACTCCAGAGCCTAAGAGAGGCTCGGCCCCAGAAGGAGGCGCTGTGCGCGCTGGGCAGACGGAGGATGGAGCGGGCGGGCGGGAGGTTGACCCTGCTGCAGCGCAGGCTCGGCCGAACCGCCCCCACCAGGCCTCTCCAGCTCTTCCAAAGGCGAGACCCCAGCTGGGTGGAACCCAGCCACCACCGCCGGCGGCAGAGGAGAGCGTCGGGGACCGAGGATCCCGGCCACAGTCCTGGGGGCAGCAGCGCTTCCAAGGTCCGGTGGAAGGGGGGCCCGAGGCACTGGGACTCCGCCTACTCTTACTCTGATGAAGCAGCCACCTGATAAGAGGAGGAGGAACTCGGCCGCGGACTTGGCGTGTGACAAGGCGCCGATCCCGCTCGCCCGTGAAATTCTTCTTCGCCCACGGTCGCCGCGGACACAGGCCAGGCTGGAGGCCGAAGGATCGTGGGATTCAGGAGCCAAAAGAAGTCTCTCAGAGTCAGCAGTCTCCGGACTCACACCCAGACATAGGGGAGCTCACCCCGGCACGAAGGAGAACCTGGAGGCACCGAGGGGGCAGGATCTTTGCTCTGCCCCGGCCCACACCGTGTGGGCTGGGCAGCGCCGGGACTCGCGGCGACCCGGAGCC